TTCAGCCGTCTCAATGAAGGATTTGCCCCCCCAGGCCTCACATCCCAAGGTTTGTAAAACCCTGCAGGGCTCTCCTCTGGGATGGGCAAATGCCTTGACTCAGCCCACACACAGCTCAGGTGGAGAGAAATTCCCCAGGCTGATCAGATCCACTTTAAAAACAATGAAAAAGGGAAATCACTAGGGTTTTGTTTTTCGTTTTTTGGGTTTTTTTTTTCTGCCAGTTCTCAATTTCTTAGAACATGCAATATGTGTTCAAGCCACCTACTTTATCCATCCATATTTAAAGTGGGTCGATGCTTCCAAACCCTCTCCATTCAGGGCAATTGCTGGTGGAGCCAAGCACCCGAGCACACAGCCTCGGGAGATCCAGAGACACAGCCAGCTCCTGTGCACCATCCCCAGAGCCCTGTGCGAGATGCCCACGAGCACGGTGACAGCCAGGGACGGATCCTGCCCCGGATCATGCCCGTGGTGGGGCAGAGGCACCAGAAAGGAGGAGCCACAGATCCCATCAGAACGCAGCTCCGGGTGGACACTGGGGAGGTGAGGGTTGGGTTGTCTCGGTCTCTCCCCGAAGGTCAGGTTTGAGCAGTGAGGACAAACGGTCAGAAAATCCAGGGCAGCAGCCTGGAGAGCACAGAGGACAGGAGAAGCACACACAGAGCTCCCTGGCACCGCTGCAAAGCGCGGCCGGCAGAAAGCTTTGTGCCTCGAGGCTGGCATCCTCTGAACACAGCCCGCACCCGACCCAGGATGTCAGGGCCCCAGCTGATAACGAGCATAATTATTTCTAAATGAGCACAGCGGAATGTTATTTCACAGAGAATAAACGTTCTGAAATCAGATCAGCACAGCTCCATTAGTGACACATCACGGCTCACGCAGGATTACCTCCAGGAACGGACTGGAACCGCCAGCAGGATTAGTCCTTTATGGACACTGCCGGAAAGATGCAGAGGGCCAGCACAGGCTTCTCAGAGACTGAAAAATACAGATGGAAAACCCCAAAGGGCCAAGCACCACTGTGAAGCCCTTAGAGAAATCCCACTTGCTGTTTGTGAAAGGGGGGAGAAAAAACTGGCTGAGAGTCTCCAAAGTTCAAAACCTTGATTAGGGACAACTAAGAGTGGGAAACCCAAGAAAAGAGCTCTGTCCCAGCAGAGCTGCCAACCACACTTTCCGTGTCAGCAGCTCCTGGCAGAGCAAACAGCAACCGGCAGTGCTGGGAAAATCCAGGCTGTGCGGATCAGAAGCTAATTAGAAGAGCGAGGTAAGGGCGAGCTGGCAGTGAGCACCCCTCCTAATATGTGCCCCGCGAGCCGAGGGAGCACGGCACCCAAGGAGCGGGATGGAGCAGCACCCGAGGAGGAAGGGAAAAGGGAGCGTGGTTGTGAAAGGCACTGACGGAGCTGGGAACAGCAGCGCTCTGCCAGCGAGCTGGCGTCGGGAGCACGCAGCCAACAACGAGGGTGATTGTCTCGTCAGGCTACAGTCAGAGCAGGAACGCAAGGGACAGCCACCACCGGAGCAGGAGCTCACTGCGAGGCAAGGGAGAACGTCAACAACGGGACAATTCACAGATCTGGGCAGGGAAGGTTGCAGATGCTTTGCAGCATCACATCGCCAAGGCAAACTGGGTATAGCAAGCAAACCCATTGCTTGGGAAGAGGGGAAAAAAACAGACAAAATTCATCAAGCAACAAGACCAAGGCTAGTGCTAGTGCAGTCAGAGGAAAAGCTTTGGAATGGCTAATTATGCACCTTTTCCTCCTATAAACCCCAGAGCAGGGGATCAAAAGGAGTTACCAACTCACCTCTGCAAGCAACCAAGCAGCCCGAGTTCATTTTGGCAGTGTCAGTGTTTAGGCCACCAGGGACAGATTTCTACCCTTCCCTTGCAGGCTTTTCCAAAGATCCCCTCCCTCACATAGCCAAGAAAATAAACCACTCACTATTTCACAGAATTAATCCCCATACCTCATAACACTGCCCTAAAACGAAACGGTATTTTACAACCTCAAAAGCCAGGCATCAATCTCAGTCACCAAATCTAACTCACACTCTCCAAGCCACATCTGCAGGGAGAAAACCGAGCTTAAGGAAGAGAGAAAAGTTCACCAACCCCTTATAAATGCAGCTAGAAATAAGAATTTGGGATTTCAATGAACGGTGGCAAGCTGCTCAGCTGTGTCCAGGCCCCTTCTGTCCCAGCGTGACGTTATGCATTTATTTTAATGGAATTCAGTGTGATATTGTAATTGAGAAGGGATATACGATGGCAACCCATCTCTGCTCTCGCTTTCCGCTGCTAATCCACGCGGTACTGCTCGTGACACCAGTCAGGCTTCTCATCAGCAAGGACGGACACGGAGAGCGAGCTCTCACGTAACATCTGAGAGTACTTGCTCATGTCTCAGCTCGCGCCTCCTTACCAAAATAGTCCTAGTCCTGTGCTGGATGGAGGGGAAACCAGATCCCCTCCAGCTACACCCTGGAAGCAGCAGCAATGTCTCCCATCTCGCAGTTTGGGTATAGGGTTCGCTATTTCTTAAAAATAGAAACGAAAACCCGTTCTGTGAAAAGAGCACCTCTTCTCAACACACAGCTCGAGCTCACCAACGCTCGCAGTAAAAATGTTTTTGGGTAAGTTTACTTCAAGAAAACTACTGGGGAAAAAGGCAGCTTTTATCCAGCAAAACATTCTCCCAGCAGCTGGGCACCTGCAGAGCCCAGCAGCACCACCTGCACCCCGTTACACCGCCAGCAGCAGAAAGCCCTTGGTGGAAGCAGCCGAGAGCTGCACATGTTGCACCTCCTCATGCCTCGGTGCTGCCAGTGCATGGGAAAGCAGCAAGAGAGTGGTGATTGCTGCCGAAATACAGGGCTGGGATCACTCAGGGCAAGAGGAATTGACTCAAGATGACTCCCACGTGAGCAGGCCTGAAGGATCTGAGGGCTCCGTCAGCAAAGCCAGAGCTTCGTCCCTCTGCTTGCAAACATGCAGCTCGAGGCTCTGTGCCAGACCCGGCATTCACAGCACGAGGAATTTTACTTGGACTCGAACAGAACTGTCCAACCTGAAACACGTCCATGCTCCACCTGAATTACGAGGTCTCTAACTGAGACAAAACATCAGCTGGGTGAGCATTCAGCGCTGAGGACTTGCAAATCCTCAGCTTCAACTCCCTACCAGATCAGCAGCACTCGCATGGCCGGCAGACAGTGAGCACGCTGCACGCTGTCGTGCTCAGCCAGGCCAAACAAGCGTGTCTAGAAGTTTCCATCTTCTCCTCAGTCAGCTGCATTCCCCATCAGCATTTCCATATACTCCAGAGCTGCAGAGCTGTAGGACAGAGGGTTCACGGTGCTTTCTGTAATTAAATCTGTAGATGCTGGTGCCACGGAACACAGCGTACTTAAATCATTATGGGAAACGAGTAAATGGCTCATGCACTAATCAACTTCTAGATGACCTTGTGGGACGGCTAATTATGCAAATAGCCAGACCACGCGAGCCCAGGACTAGGGGCTCACTCCCTGCAAGCTGAGCGGGTTATGCTCTGGCACCGTGCTGCTCTCTGTAAAACAGGCCGCTAGGCACAGAGCGCCCGCCCTGCGCTCAGCAGCCAGCATCCCAAACCACCGTCCCACCAACCCGGAGATGCAGACGCTGCTGCGCTGCCTTCCAGAAACGCGGTCAAACCAATTTTCTGTTGACTCTGTGTTTTCATGAGGCGGCAGCATCAGGCGGTGCTGCTCAGACATCCACACAGCCCCGAGTGCTGCTCAGAAGAGCCGTGCCCAGCAGTCACATCGAGCGCGCCGCAACGCGACGTGGGTTTGCTGAACACAGCAGCACTTCCCCTAGGGAAGGAGAGGTTTTTTTTTCCTTGATGCACTGACCCAGCCACAACCTTCCTCAGTGGTGAGTCTGGAAGCCTCATGAGCACTACCTACGGATGCATATTCAGTGCAGCCAATACCACAGAGCAGCATTTATAGATGTCCCAAAGCCCCAGCCCCAGACCAGGAGAGCAACGCGCTACAAAAACACCAAACCAAAGCAACCCCAAGCTGGGCAGCCAGTATCTCACCATACCATGAAGTAATGTTCTCATTTTAAGCAGAATGTAACGAAAGCAGGTGTTCCCTACATCTTCTCTCTTGCATAAGGTTTGTTTTCCAGCATTCAAGGTAAGAGCAGAGTGGTTTTGTAGGGCAAAATGGGTGGCTGGCTGGCTTTTTAATACATTCATGGGTTTTGTTTGCTGTGATTTGAAGCCATCCTCGTTTGTGGAAGGAAACCAAATGTGAATCCCAGAAGAGTTATGAACACAAATATTTCAGAAATATTGTTTGTTAAGCACTTATCAGATCTGTTACACAACAGAGCAGTAAAAACTACGCTCTTGGGAGGAGCACGCATGGGGTTTTGACAGCTTTACATAATGCAGTTGTCCTAAATATACACTAATAAATACCAAACCAGAGCTTAGCGTGTACAGAGGGGACACAGGGAATATACACAGGCAGCTAGATTTATGCATCATTCATCTCCAGCACTACCCTACAGTGGGGGGTGAACAGGAGAGGCACTGCTCTGGCATTTTGTTGTGAATCAGAGCTCCCCGGGGCGCCACTCATCACTCCCCATCACACTGACCACCCCAGTCTCCCCAAGAAAGGCACACCCGTCCTACCTTCCAGAAGCAGCACTGTAACTTCACTTTCACTTGCTTTCCCCAGTTTACAGTCATTACCCAGGGGCTTTAAAGACTGGCTTAAGGCTGCGTGACCAGCTGAGAAGACGTTCGGCGCACGCAGTATTGCTTAAAACCCTTTGTGCCTCTTTGGGAAACAGACAGCTACTTTTAATTGCATATGAACCGGTATCTGCTAGGGTTTCTGCACGATTTAGCAGGCCCAGAAGGGCTGCTTTACAGGGAGGTTTTTAAGAAGGATCCAGCTGCACGTTCGCACGCCGAGCCGGGCTCTACCTGACTGGTTGTTCCTCATGCGGATGGCTTTCGCCTTGGCCAGCTCCAGCGCCGTGACCCAGCGCTGCCTCTCCACTTCCGAGTTGGCCTTCAGGTGGTACGTCCTTCCCCCGTTGGAGAGCACGATGTTACACGAGTCCTCCGTGTCGATGTGGGCCGTCGACAGGTTGATGGTTCCGCGGCACGTGTGGGCCATCTCCGCCTGCGTCCTGCACAGGAACAGAGGACAAGGAAGCATGAATCCCTCTGCACCCACCCTCCCCGGGATGGCCACCGACCCACGACCCACGCACCACCAGGGCATTTCTCATCTCATTTGCACTGCTGCTCGTCTCTCTCCCTGTACCCCACCTTTATTACTCTCCAGTTTTGTGCCTTTCCATACCCTCTCCCTTCAATCACTCTCTTTTGTCCAAGTTTGATAAGATCTTGCGTGCGAAGATCTTCATTTGTAAAGCAAACGAGCGTGGCATAATTCCTCTGGGGCTGTTAAAACACCTTTGCTGCAGGCAAAATTGCTGCACACTTCAGCAGGTTTCATCAGCACCAAGAGCAGGCGGCTGTTCTGGAGCCAAACTTTCCAAACAACCAACCCTCATTGTACCCCTACTTAGCCAACGGAAGGAGAAATGGGTATGCTGCTACTATGGCACCTAATTCTCAGCGAGCAGTTCACCAAGCAGCTGCAAGAAGATGGAGCTCCAGGTCAGGACAAACTTTTCTTTGGATCATTATCCAGGGATCAGGCCCCCCTGCCCAGGGATGCTTTGGTTGCAGAGCACGAGCCAGCGCTCCAAACACTCCCTAGCATGTTTTCAGCAGCACCTAAAGGCACTTTTTTTTTCTTAAGCAGAGACTAGATGTATCAAAGGCACTCGGGTACAAAGAGAAATGCCTGATGTAGTCCTGAAACTGCCTCTCCACCCACTGCTGCACTTACAGACACCTAAAATAGCTCAGCGAGAGCTCAGCCCGTGAGTCCCACAGCCCTCCCAGCACCCAGCTCAGGCACAGCCCACAGCACAGCGGTGCTGGCAGCACCCACGCAGCCCACCCCCAGCACACAGCCCACCCCCACGGGGCCTCCTGCTTTCCAGCAGGGGCTGCAGATGCCATAAGCCCCATCCCTCCAGCCCCTCGCACAGCCTGGAGCAGCTAAAAGGCAGATCTGTGGGCAGGAGGAAATCAGAGGGTCTCCTTTGACCCTCTTTGCATCTCCTCCATCTTTTACCACACAACCGTTTTGTCCCATCCTGTCCAGCTCTGCCCCAGCACAAGTTAATCTTGCCCAGCGTGTTCACCATGAGGTGAACCAGGTCCTGTGACGTTTCTTAAAAACCCTCAACGTCCCCAGGCCCAGGGGATCACGCTGGAGAAAGGTGGGAGCAGAGCAACACTGTCATGGGATGAATCAGCCTCACGCTTTCCTCAATGCCCCTGCCCTGAATCATTTCCAGAGTCCTCTCTCCAGCTCTTTTCCTGACACGAAGACCTGTTGGAATGGGACAGATGTCAGATAATAATTAGATGCATTTTTCTAATATTTCAGCAAAATGCATTACTGCCCAGTTGCTCACTGAATTGCAGTACCAGGAGGAACCAAGGGAATCTGCAGGAATTTCTCTCAGCCACTAATGGCTCCTTTACTTCCCCCCAAGCCAGCAGCACAGTCCTTACTAAAGAATGTCCTCCAAGTTTGTCATCATTAGCTTTAACTCCTCAAGACAGGGGCCTGTTAGAAAAACCCATGGGTGTTTGCTTATCAGAAGCCACTGAGTGCATCATGCAGCCTTCAACAGAGGCATCACCACTCTGGGAAGATGCTCACCTGGACAGCACCAGCACGAGAAATCACAGCCAGTAAGAAACCACCAGGCTTAGTGGCAGGACTGGAGAGAGCCTCAGCACACGAAGCTCAGCCCCAGTGTTTCACAGAACAGCATCAGCATCTCCCCTCTGCTGTTCCTCCCTGTCTTAACCCAGCTGCTTTGTCCTGGAAGCACAGCACGCCGAGGCACAGCCCTCCCAGAAGGGTTGGTTCATCCTCTGCTGGATTTGAGGTGCCCCAGCTGGGCAGATGCCCGTGCTGCTCCTTGCAGGGCAACGCCAGGTCTCTCCTTCTGATCCTGATTTGGGTCATCACTGGCCACAGCTTTTCTATCATTTTACACCAAGTCACATCTTCACAGCTGGCAGAGCTGAACAAGTCACCGACTGCTGAGCATCAGAAATGTTGACTAAGGCACACGAAGCAGCTCGTAGCGACAGCGTGGCACGCACAAGACCATGCCCGCCAGCGCCAGGAGCATCTCCCCGTGATTCCAAAGAGCTCAGAGCAGTTTGCCAGCTGCTTCCTTCTCCACGTCACGTCCATCACACAGGCAGGGGTGCAGCGAGCCGCCCCAGAGAGACCACGAGCACCAACCTCACAACTCAGCATGGTGACGCTGGTTTGTGGAGGGGATAATTTGGCTCCCAATTAAACCAAGCACTGATTTTTGTTTCCAGAGTCACCCAGCTCGTGATGCAGCACGTACTGGCATGGTCCCAGCAGGGCTTGCTTTTCACTTTGAGCAAACTGCTAAAATGATTTTTCTCTCACACAGAAAACAAAGGTCTCCAAGGTGACTTTGCTAAATCGATTTAGTCACATGAAAACAGCCCTGCTCTCCCACCCAAGAAAACTGTTTCTGTATAGGACTTTGCTCTTCGAGCTACTTCTCGGTGCAAATCTGCATGGGAAATCAATTCCCATCACTCAGCACCCACACGCAAGGCAGGCACCTGACCCAGCTCCGAGCCAAGAAGCCATTTCCCCTGTCCGCATGCAGGAAAATACGAGGTGCCCTTCAGAAGCACTCCTGCTCAGCTGGATCTGCTTATTCACTGCCAGCAGCTCAACTATTGCATAACATGATCCAGGCAGATTTTCTGATTCTCGACTTTCTGCAATAATCTGAGAGCCGCACAGATGGGAGAACACGTGGGCGGGCTGCAAAAAGCTGCCCAGGGGTTAAGGGTGGGCACGGACCACACAGAGGTGCCCGCTGCTGGGTGCCTGGGATTTTCTGCTGCTCCCACTCCAAGTTAATTACCGGATTCACCTTCAGAGATGTGAAATCACAGCTGGGCAGGGAGGTGAAGCAGACGGCTGCCTGGCAGAGTCCACGTGTGGCAAGAGGCAGTGGAGCTGGGCAGCATTGCCCCGTTACAGCTCGGCTCCGATTCATACCCTGGAATGAGGCAGCATCAAAGCATTCACCTTTGTTTTCTCCACAGCACGTAGAACACGGGAATCAGAACTTCAGATGAGTGTCGTTACTCGGGCACCCTGCCCACAAGCACAGCGATCTGCAGAACACTGGATTTTGCAAAAAGCTGAACAACCAGAAGATGTTTGAAAACATTATTTGCATCAGTCTTCTGGTTGTTAAAACATTACTTACATCATTTCTCTCTTTATTTAACGAAGCCACTTAAATACCACAGATTTAAATAGAACTCTTGCAGCTATTTAGAAAGGCCTTCAGGATGAAACTCCCCGAGTCTGATCTTTGGCATCCTACTGCCTGACAGATGAGCTGCCTGGCGTGATGCAATAGGAACAGCAAGATGCTGTTTAAGGACCCGCTTCCAGCTCTGGGGGAATACCTGAGCTGCACGCTCCCGCTTGGCAGTGACCGAAAGCAATCTTAGAAAGGAATTTCATTGTTTTATGGTAAGAGCTCAGAAGACAGGTTTATCAACAGAGCAAAGATTAAAAGGGAAGAAAAGCAGAGAGAAAGGGTTTTTTTATTAAAGCAAGCGAGGACAACGGATGCTTGGGGCTAAGCTGCTCTGTCACAGGGCGATCGGCTACTGCCCTTTGAAATTCAACCTTTCCCGAAACCAAGCATGGCACTGCTGGTTTGGGAAAGGGTCCTGGCCTGCCCCTGCTACCCAAGCTGCACATGTGTGCCAGAGGCATTAAAACAGCTTCCCAGGGAGTTACGGATAGGGGTAAATAGCAGGGGGGGTCCAAGCTACAAGGGAATGAGCACACACACACACCAGCACACAGGGCTGCTGCACCCCTGCATCGTTACGTGCCCAACCGCGAGACATCTGCAGAATTGCACTGCCAAAACTTCCCCTCCACCAGCAAGGCTGAGTGGTCTCTGAGTGGCCTGAGTAGTCTCTCGCCTCTCTGACTTTCATGAGGGTGCTGAAAATGCTCCAGCTAGCAAGTCAGAACTTCTTTAAACTGGATTATCCACAGAAAAAATGAGCGAGATGCTACACAAACACTGACCTGAGGCTTCTTTCCTAAGCTGGAAGCGCCAGTGCTGCCTGCTCACACTCCGCCACTATCGCTCTGTATTGCTCACAAATCAAGGCAGCTCCTTATTTAAATAGAGCTCACCTCTTGGCAGGTTTCTCACTATTTAACCCACTTAGACCTCGATTTTCAGCAGGAAAGCCTGCACCGGGCTGAAGTATTTCTGCCATCGGGACAGATCTGTGGAAGAAACGTGGTTACTCCAGTGCTGTGGCTGCAAGACAGCCCCGCAGCTGCTTGGCCTCCTTCCTCCAGCACTTGCATGAGACTTTCTGGCAGATGGCCCGAGGTTACGCAAAGATGAGAAACTTTGCTGTCTCCGGGATATTGCCAACATCCATCAGCTTTTGAAAGCAGAAAATGAAAAATGAAAAGAAAAAAAAAAAAAACACTTCCACAGGGAACTATGAAACTTCGGTATGTGTTTGGAAAGGTCTTCCCAAGCAGAAATGAAAATCAGGCCACCAAGGAGATTTTTATTACCAGCTAAGAGCAAAATCGGAGCTCCCCAAGCTGAGCCTTGTGCTGGCACTTTGTCCATCCACCTTTCCTTCCTGACAGCACACAGAGCAGCCTACAAAAGGGACAAAATTATTACACACTGGTTTTCTTGAGGACAAAGCCTGAGCCACAACACGAGCAAAGCTTTCCATGCCAGCAAGGAGCTTTCTGTGCCATCACCAGGCTCAGGACCGAGCAGTGAGCAGAGCACAGGCCAGGCTGGTGGTGGCTGCTCGTGATGCGAGAGGTGAAGGATTGAGCGGGGTCGCTTTCAGAAAGGCATTTAGCGTTCGGGGCATTTATTCATAAACCTGCCCCCCTTCTCCAAGTCCAGCCTGAGGATGGAGGGATGGGAACTGACCCACAGGAAGAGCCAAGACTTGGGCTGGA